GAAATAATAAAGATCAGAATGGAAGTCAGTGAAATAGAGGCTGAGAAGGTTCTTATAAATAAAATCAGAAAGAGGAGAAGTTAAAACTGATACCACAGAAATGCAAACCATCATACAACTACAAAAAGAATTACATGTCAAAAAATTGGATAATCTAGAAGACATAGATAAATTCCCATAAATAAACTTTTAAAAAAGACCAAATCATGAATAAAAAATCTAAATAGACCAATTACAGTAAGAAGACTGAATCGGTAATCAAAACTTCTCAACAAACAAAAATCCAGGACAAGATGGGATCACTGGTGAATTCTACCAAACATTCAAAGATTTAAGACCTAGCATTCTCAAACTCTTCCAAAAGAAATTGAAGAGGAGGGAATGCTTCCAAACCCATTTACAAAGACAATATTACCCTGATACCCAAACTAGACAAAGACACCACAAAAAAAAGAAGAAGAGGAGGAAGTGTAGGAGGAGGAGAGAAAAAAAAAATTATGAGCCAATATAACAGAAAAAAATAGATGCAGAAATCCTCAACAAAATATTAGCAAACCGAATTCAAGAACACATTAAGATCATATACCATGATCAAGTGGATTTATTCCAGAGATGCAAGGATGGTTTCAATATTCACAAATCAATCAACATGATAAACCACATTAACAAAATGAAAGATAAAAATTATATGCTCATCTCAAAGAGATGAAGAAAAAGCATTTGACAAAATTCAACATTCACTTATGATAAAAATTCTAAACAAAGTAGGTATAGAGGGAATGTAGCTCAACATAATAAAGCCCATATATAACTAGTCCACAGCTAATATCAAACTCAGTGATGAAAAGCTGAAAGTTTTCCTTTAAAATCAGGAACAAGACAAGGATGTCTACTCTCTCTGCTTTTATTCAACATAATATTGGAAGTCCTAACCAAAGCAATTTAGTAAGAAAGAGAACTAAAAGGCATCCAGATTGAAATGAAGAAGTAAATCTGTCCTTATTTGCAGATGAAAGATACTATATATAGAAAATCCCAAAGACTTCACCAGGAAAGCTGTTAGAACTAATAAATGAATTCAATAAAGTTTCAAGATACAACATTAACACACAAAATTCCACTGCATTTTCACACACTAATAAGAAACTATAAGAAAGAGAAATCAAGAAAACAATCCCATTTACAATTACATCAAAAAGAATGTAATTCCTAGGAGTAAATTTAACCAAAGAGGTAAAGGCCTGTACTCGGAAACTATAACAAATTGATGAAAAAAGCTGAAGACACAAATAAATGGAAAGATATGCCATGCTCATGGATTGGAAGAATTAATACTGTTAAAATGTCCATACTACCCAAAGCAATCTACAGGTTCAATAAAATCCGTACCAAAATTCCAATGGCATTTTTCGCAGAAGTAGAAACAATAACTCTAAAATTTTATGGAACTACAGACTTCAAATAGCCAAAGCAATCTGGATAAAGAAGAACAAAGTTAGAGGTATCACATTCCCAAATTTCAAATTATACTACAAAGCTATATAATCATAACAATATGATATTAACAAAACAATAGACACATAGATCAATGGAACAGAATAGACAGCCCAGAAATAAAGCCATGCATATATGGTCAATTAATTTATGACAGGGGAGGCAAGCATATACAATGGGGAAAGAACATTCTGTTCAATCAATAGTAGTGGGAAAACTGGACAGCCAAATACAAAAGGATGAAATTAAACTGCTATCTTACCCAATATTCAAAAATTAATTTAAAATGGATTGAAGACTTGAATGTAAGACCTGAAACCATAAAACTCCTAAAAGAAAACATAAGCAATAAGCTCCTTGACATCGGTCTTAGCAATGTTTTTTGGATCTGGCTCCAAAGACAAGGGCAACAAAAGCAAAAATAAACAAATAGGACTACATCAAACTAAAGAACATCTGCACAGCAAAGAAAACCATCAACAAAATGAACAACCTACTGAATGGGGGAAGATATATGCAAGTCATATATCTGATAAAAGGTTAATATTCAAAATATATAATAAACACATACAACTCAATAACAACAACAAAAAAATCCCATTAAAAAATAGGCAAAGGATGTAAATAGACATTTTTCCAAAGAAGACATATAGATGGCCAACAGGAAAAGATGCTCAACATCACTAATCATCAGGGAAATGCAAATCAAAGTCACAGTGAGATATTACCTCACACCTATCAGAATAGCTATCGTCAGAATGACAAGAAATAACGAGTGTTGGCAAGGATGTAGGAAAAAAAAAAACAAACCCATACACTGTTGGTGTGAATGTAAACTGGTGCAACCAGTATGGAAAACAGTACTAAATTTCTTCAAAAAATTAAAAACTACCATATTATCCAGCAATTCCACGTATGGGTATCTATCCAAAGTAAACAAAACACTAATTAAAAAAAAATATATGCACCCCTACATTCATTGCATGATTATTTACAATAGTCAAGATATGGAAACAACCTAAGTGTCCATCGATAGATAAATATATAAAGAACATGAAGTACATGTGTATACAATGGAATATTATTCAGCCACAGAAAAGAATGAAATCTTGTCATTTGTGACAACATGGATGGACCTTGAGGGTATTAGGCTAATGAGTTAAGTGAAACAGAGAAAGATGAATACTTCATAATTTCACTTATTAAGTGGAAGCCAAAAAAAAAAAAAAAAATAGACAACTAACTACCAAATAGAACAAAACAAAATCCAGATTCACAGACTGAGAACTGAGTGGTGGTTGCCAAAAGGTGAGGGGGTTAAGGGGGTGATATGGGTAAAGGGAATCAAGAGACACAAATTTCCAGTTATAAAATGAATAGGTGATGGGGATATAATGTACAGTATAAAGAATACAGTCAATAATATAGTATTAACTTTGTACAATGACAGATGGTAGACTTACTGTGGTAATCAGATTACAATGTATACAAATGTTAAATCACTATTTGTATACACTAAACTAATAATACTGTATGCCATTTATACTTCAATAAAACCTTTCTAAAAAAATCAATAATCAATTATTTATCACATCATAAATACATCTTTTTTTTAAATTTTTTTTTTTAAAGATTTTATTTATTTATTTGAGAGAGAGAGAATGAGAGACAGAGAACATGAGAGGGAGGAGGGTCAGAGGGAGAAGCAGACCCCCCCGCCGAGCAGGGAGCCCGATGCTGGACTCGATCCCGGGACTCCAGGATCATGACCTGAGCCGAAGGCAGTCGCTTAACCGACTGAGCCACCCAGGCGCCCCATAAATACATCTTAATATGCATTATTTAGATGTTGAATGTCTTTGGACAAATATTCTGAATTCAACTCAAACATTATTTATTATCAACGCAGAGTAGATAAATAAAACTAATACATTCTGAAACAAGAACCAGAGTAAAGGTAAAGCATAGGAAATGCAAACAGAAATTAAGAAAACTAAGAGATCATAACTTGGAGTCCTATCAGAAAAGAGGAAGGGGTAGAGCACCTGGGTGACTCAGTCAGTAGAGCATGGTGACTCTTAATCTCAGGTTATGAGTTCAATCCCCACATTGGGTGTAGAGTTTAGTTAAAAATAAAATTAAAAATTTAAAGAAAAGAAGAAGGGAAAGTTAGGTCACACTGACTGAAAGCAAATGCCAAGTTGTCTTAGGTATGACTAATGCAGAGAAAAGGATAAAAATCTAGAAAAGCTGAGGTCATGGGTAGAGAACTCTGAATGACAGGGTAACATGCATATACTGTAACTTTCATAGGCATTGGAAATCTACTCATAATATTAGAGTACAAGAGTGATAGAGTTGCACTGTGGAACAATTTATCTAGGAGGATGGGTAAGTGGAAAGTGAAAAGTAATAAGAATTTGATTAGATGGGTATTAAAGTAATGAAGATGAGCAATAATCAGGATATAGGATGGTAAAGGAATGAGGGTGATGAGCCAATGTAGAGGGTAGAATCTTTAAGAATTGGCTTCTAGGGGTGCCTGGGTAGCTCAGTCAGTTGGGCTTCCAACTCTTGATTTCAGCTCAGGTCATAATCTCAGGGTTGTGAGATCAAGCCCCAAGTCAGGCTCCACACTGGGGATGGAGCCTGCTTAAGATTCTCTCTCTCCCTCTTCCTTTGTCCCTTCCCCTGCTCACTCTCTTTCTCTCTCTCTCTCTCAAAATAAATAAATACATAAATACATAAAAATTGAAATAATTTAAAAAAAGAACTGGCTTCTAATTTTAAAAAGGGTCTAAGACTAAAGAAACAGACAGGAATAAATATATGCTCTCATTAACAAAAAGAAGAAACTCCGAAAGAGAGCTTATCTGGGGCATAAAGAATAAAAAGGTCATTCTGGGACATGCTAAATTCATTAGGTCAAAAAGATATACAATTATGTATCAAATAAAGAAAAATAAATGTGAGTCTGAAGCCTGGGTTAAAGAAAGAAATCATTTGGGATTTGCTGGTATAGAGTTGATGGCAGAAGTCATGGATGTAGCTGATGCAGAGAACCTAGAAGAGGTCCATAGCCAACGCATCCAGGATAACCTCCTGGGGGAGGAGAGATGAAAGTGTCCAGAGAAATTGGTGGAACACCTAGCCAATTATACATCAAAGATGAAGAGAATTTCAAAAAAGCTACCATGAACAAGAGTGTCAAATTTTAGAGAAAAAAGGAAAAGAAGAAAAGAGTTTGCAATTAGTACAACACTGGGAAACACTAGATGACACTTTGCTTATAAGTACAGTTTCAACAGAGGATGGAAAACAGGAAATAAGGCCAGGGGGGTTATGGCCTGAGTGAGGGGGTAGAACGTATAAGCAAAATCGTCCTCTAGTTAGTCCACATGTACAGCATGTCCAGATATACAAAAACCTCTAAAAAAAAAAAAACAATTAGAAATCAAATAAACAAATCAGCAAAAACAGTAATAATAATATGAATAAGGTTTTACCTTCTTGTGATTCTTGTAAACATTTCTGTGGGCAAATCCCTTTCCACAAAGCTTGCATTTGTAAGGCTTATCTTCGCTGTGTATTACTTTGTGGGCGCCCACTTGATCGAGCCTCTTGAAAGATTTATTACAAATCTCACAATTATAGGGTCGTTTTTCTGTGAAAAATGAGTGCAGACAATCTCACATCTATATAAAAGTAAAGGACAAAAACGGAAATAGCCTTACCTTATATTACTTCTTATGGATAAGTCAACTAAAACATGATTGAAACAACTAGAAAAAAATCTACTTTCCAATCCATTTCTGTTAGATACATGAGCGTATTCACAAAAGAAATATAAGCTAGTTCTTTTATAGACCTATACCGTAAACTACGTGTATAAAGCAGCTTAGATGTAAGGATGAAATTTAAATTCAAGGAAAAAATCCTACTTCCAGATGAAAAATCTGCTGATAGGTGTGAGTTTAAACCAGGGTCACAACCCCGAATGCCAAGAGTGGCCTGACAGTGATAAAAGTAAATGACAGACCTGCCTCCTACTCGAACAAGTGGACCCCATATGGGCACAGCTTCAATTCTCAGCAGAAACAACACACCTAGGTTATTGTATAAAATCCATATTTATGCAATGTTCATGTAATGTTGACCACTAGATTTAAAAAATACTGCTTGTTTCAAACAAAGCATATCTGAACAGTCCACCAGTGTTTGATCTCCTATTTCCATTTGTCAAAATATCTATATCTGTCGCCAAGCAAAGTGGATATTCAAAAACATTCTGACTTCAGTGGCCTCCAATGATAGATGTTCTAAACTCTAGAAGGAGACTTCATAAAGCAAAATTTATTCTCAGACCTTATTTTTGAAAAATCTGTTTAACAGCCCTATTGCTCAAACTTGCCTAAAATGAAACTACGGCTTTAAAAACTTATATTCTCAAAATGTATTTATAAATTTCTCACTAATATTTATTAGTACCTTAGTTAGAATGTGAAAGTATCTAGAAAGGTAGAAATTCTAATTGCTGAAGCCCTCCTAAAAGTCAGACATTATGCTAGCACAATACATAATGATCTCATTTAAACTTCACAGCAATTTTGAAAGGTAAGATACCTTTTCACAGATAAAGAACAGAATCTAAGGCTCAAAGAGGAGTAGATTACAAATTAAATGGTGACTCTGAAGATCTTTGATATCATTTAGTCCAATCACCTTGTCTTTATAAATAAACAGGTCTAGAGAGGCTAAATAACTTGTTCAAAATCGCATGACTAGTTAATGGCCAAACTAGAACTAAGAGCCAGGCTTCCTGATTACTACTCTCGGAGCTCCTAAAAATGACAAAGTGCATCTTTCATAGTGATTTCAATATAAATGGAAAAATATATATTTTACCTGAGTGAGTGATCATGTGACGTTTTAGCTGGTTAGCTGAAATAAATTTCTTCATACATTCTTGACAATCAAATATCTCATGAATCTGCAAAAGGTTAAGTGGACAGTTAAGTCAACTGTCAAAGCCAAATAAATTAGAGCAAAAGTAAAAGTACAAACATGTAGACAGCTGCTACTGCAATATCTATGTATTCAGTCCTAATTTGTTCACACTGTCTTATATAAATTGAAAATGCAGTGAACATGTTACCTAGTAAAATCTTATCATTAAAAGAAAACACAAGATTGGAAGGATGCCTGGGTGGCTCAGTCGGTTAAGCGGCTGCCTTTGGCTCAGGTCATGATCCCAGGGTCCTGGGATGGAGCCTCACGTCAGGCTCCCTGCTCAGCGGGGAGTCTGCTTCCTCCTCTCACTCTCCCTCCCCACTCTAGCTCTCTCTCTCAAACAAATAAATAAAATTTAAAAAGGAAAGAAAATACAAGATTGCAGCGCAGTATTTAAATATGTGATACAGCTGACTATTTAGGGAATATTAAATTTCTACACTCTGTAAAAAGTTATACCTAATTTACATTAATTCTTTGTTACGCACAAATTTAGATTTGAAAATATGTAATCTATAGGTAATAAGATCTCCTTTACAGTAGTCAAACTATTTTAAATTTAAATGTATATACTACAGAACAAAGCATTAATTACCATGAAAGGCAAGAAGATGTATGATTCTGAAAAACATTTAGCTCACAGTGAAATTCTTACATGATAGGAAGATCACAACAAAAAGAAAAGCTCAAAAACCGTAAGAAGAAGAGGAGGAGCATAACCTTAGCAAACAACTGACTAAATAATTATTACAACTAGATATTAAGTTTAGCTCTTTCCCTTCCAGACACTAACTCAGAGAAATTGAATAGGTGGTATGAAAAGTAGAAGCCCAGTTTATGATCAGAAACAATGCACAAAGTTCTAAGAGGAATGTACTACAAGAAGGCTTATATTAGAAATGTTGATCAACCCAATAAACAAGAGCATCATGTTGTTTTGCCAAAGATTCAAAAATGGTGAAGTTAAGTTTCTGTTTCAACCTCGTGAAAGGTAGAGCTCACAATACTAAACACCAGACAAGCAAAGGCCCTCCCTTGGAAAACCAGATACTATGCTTATCCCTACAGAATAACTAGGGCCACTGCAGAGAGAAGTCAAGGCAGAGGACCATGAACTGGTACAGCAGTGAGTAAAGAGGGGCTTGGGTTGTATTCTGGTGAACGGCTCCCTTGATTTAAGTGGCCATGGAAGAACTCAAGACCGAGAGAGTGAAAAGCGGGAAAGGCAGGGAAACAAAAGCTAGGAAAGTTAACAGATCCCAGGTCTGCAGTCTGTGCCTTAATTCTATGCCCAACCCCATGGCAGGTCTGAGGCTGCCTAGCCACCTTCTGCTTCTGTCAGACCTGATTCTATCAGAACCTGATGAGTAAACTCCTCTGAGAAAAGCAGAGAAAAGGTAGATAAACAAGGGAGAAGCAGAATGGTGTCATTCCACTAGAGTCTGACTTACATCTCTGCTTCCATACAGTGCCACCTCATCTCAATCAGTGAATACATGGAGTCCAAAGAGTTCTATGACTCCTCAGAAAACAAGGGGGGAGTCTGCACGAGTACTCAGAAAGCAAGTAGTACGCAGTACAGAAGAAAAACTTTCAGCCTGAGCCATTTTAAAGACAGCCTCTTCAATCATCCAAGACCCTCACCGTGGCTTTGGTCGAACAACTATGTTTAAGGAGCAATGATATTATGCGTAATATTTATTTAAAGATAGTATGAAGACATTTATATTCTTAAACTCTGTGTTTCTGTAATATATGCCTTTTATAATAACAATATGTTTTATACTAACAATATACCCTTAAAAAGATGATATGCCTTCTGAACCATACATAAATGAAAACATTTAATTTATTTTAATTTTAATATGAAATTTATATTAACATATTAAATTTCTAAAATTATTCAACCAAATATAAAACGTTAACTGTTAAAAAAACTACTGCAGCATAGTACCCATACTTGTTCACTTAACTCTAGTGGCTCCTGAAACACGAATTATTTTTAAAGGTTCAATTGAATTGATTTTCCATAATTACAAAATAGAATTTTCACTGTACATGAAAGCATTTTTGCGTTGAATACCTTACTTACAGTGGAAAATTCAGGCCCAAGCTATTTTTAAAAATCCGAAAAAAGCATGATAAAACAATCAGATTTCAAATGAAAATGACAGGTAAAACCATTTATCTATGCCTAATGCTAAGTAAAGCACAATTTTCAAAATGTCCAGCTTACTAATTGATATGGAGGGTAATAACTTACAACTTGAAGTCCCTAATTAGATCATTTTCAAGAAGGACCATAATATGTCTTATTGTAACATAGGATAGTATATTGTAATGTTAAGATACCACTCTAGACTGTAATGTAATTTGGCATATTCATAAAGCACCCTCTACTGGCAAGGGTAAATACTGCAACCAAACTCTACTAGACATTCAACATATCCAACTAACTGTAAGAATAGAGTCAAAATTGGGAGTCAGTAAAAGCTGCCTATGGATTCAGAAAGGCTAAGTTAGAGGAGCTATGCTATAATGAAGGAAGTGCTGCATTGAGCTAATAGGTTATGAGCATTTTGCAGAGATAACTTCGGTGCTGTGTTCTACCATCACCAGGTAGTATTTAGATCTGCCAAGATATTCCTTCGGGAAAAGGTTCTTATATTATGAAAAATAAATAAATAAATAAATGGAAAATAGAACGTTTTTCAGAAATATGCCCCACAACCAGCTTTCCTGAAACATTTTATTTGGTAAAATGTTTAACTTGGTAAAATATCTTAAACTTCAACTTCTTACGATTTAAAGAGACCAGAAATACATACAAGTACAAAGATATTTAGAAAACATCTATTCAATTGGATTTAATCTTTCTTTTAATAATTTTTTTTTATGTTGAGTTAGCCAACATAAAGTACATCATTAGTTTTTGACGTAGTGTTCAACGATTCATTTGTTCTGTATAACACCCAGCGCTCATCACAACGTGTGCCCTCCTTAATACCCATCACCCGGTTACAATCTTTTTGTCTCAGACTAGGTTCTTCTTCAGAAGCAATGCCAGTGAAGTGAGCAGTACAAGTACTAAAATTGGAATGATACAGTGAAGATTAGCATGGTCCGTGCACAAGAATTACATACAAATTCTTCAAGTGTTCTATATTTTTTAAACAATCTTATAAGAAAACCATTTGGAAACTAGAAAAAAAAAGTTTCATGGCACTTAGAGGAAAAAATTAAAAGGCATGAATCAGTTCCAAGTCACATGTAATAAAACAGAGAACAGAGACCCAATGTTACATGGAGTGTTAGGGACAGAAGATGACACCCACTGTCCTCACTCTCCGTCCACTGCTTGTTCCACTATTTCTCCCTGAGGATCACAATCATCCAACATATAAAATATAACTTCAGACATCTTTGCCATCTAACTATCTCATGTGTTTGTAGATTAATCCATGGCACGTGGTTAGAGCCATCAGACTGAATATCATATGAATTTTAAAGTCTGTCAGGTTATTTTGGAATATATCAATATACAAATAAAAAGATAAATTAATTTTGTAAACCACAAGAAAAGTAAAATTTTACATTCACTAGTACCATCTCTTCTCTTGTTCGATATTAAATTACTAAAAGAAAATATTATATGCTCCTAGATATTCTGACAAAACAATATGTGAAATTTAAAAATAATCATTCATCTTTGTTATTACAATATAAGGTGATATTATATAATATGAATTTTTCTAGACTTTGCTATAATAAGAACAAAAATTGAAATTCTACTTTAGTTCTATTCTACTGTAAATTCTATTAACTAGTCCTGCTACTGTTGTTAGGGTTAATAACTACTGAGTATTTTTCAGGTTAAATTTCCACATTAAAATAGTAACAACTTAGTAAGCTTTATGCTTATTACAAAATGTATTAAATTTATTTTCTGTAAATATAATCATTTGTTCCTGCCAACAACACTTTGACATACTTGTACATTATTTTTAGTTCTTCAAAATAATGGAGCTCTTGTCTTTGTTTTGCCAGACTTAACCATAACATGCATCCACTTTTAATAGCTAAGTGCCACTGCACAGCACATTATAAATACACAAAACTGTTAAGTTTTCATCAAATATATGGTATTTGAGGGTGAGGTGTTGCAGTGAAAGGCTCAGTTAGATGTAACACTTTGCAATGGAGAAATATTTCTACTAATTCTGAGTGATAAACAATTCAAATATGTTTTTGCAAGACCTTACTTTTCTGCATATCAGTCTTGTATTTTAGCATATGTTAGCATATAAATTATCCACAAACTCTGTCTGTATACATATAAAAATCAACTAAAAATTTTCATGGCAGACACTATAAATGACTAAAAGATCTTATACTCTGATGAGCATTAATCTTTATCTTACTGACCTTTCTATGTTCCTGCAGGCTTGATGCTGAAGAACACTTTTTATTGCACACTGAACATATGAGCTTTTTCTTAGGATCTCCTAAAATGAAAATAAAATGCCAACATGATTTAAATGAGAGTATTAGGAGGAGCATCAGATACAATGTTTCTAAGTGATATATTTCTAAACACATATTTCTTAACTTAGAATTCCAAAACTTTCAGTGTTATAGTTATATCCATTAAACTGCATTTTAAACCCTTTCTTTTTAAATTTGAAAAATATTCAGCATGATATACCATTTCTACATAAATAAAATAGGTCTTTCACCTTTCCATAAACTAATGTAAAATTTTTAAAAAGCACACTTACATGAAAAATTTTACTTGAAATTAATCAAATGTGTTTATAAAAATTAGATTTATTAACTCAAACTGATTTTGCTACTTGCTTTAAATTTTAACAGAATATTTCATTTAATATTATATATTATTAATATAATATATCATTTTTATATATAAATATATAAGTATTACATAAATATTTAATAACTCATTCTGGGTTTTTTAAGATGGAATTCATAGATTACTCTTTCCATCATGAGATTCCTGCAAAATCTATGAACATATACTTCCTCATATTACTATTAAAAAACAAAAAATCAAGTACAATAAAACATTATATTGACATTCATATTAATATACAAATCAAAACAAGCCCAATTTTGTCTTCCTACATAGTTATCATAATAGCTCATTTCATATTTCAAATTTCAGAGTGGTTATAGAAATGAAGACTCAATAAAACATTTTTCAAATATGATGTAATAATAGCATCATCTGCACTACCATAAATAACTGGAGTGTTTTTTTTTCAATTTTTAATTAATTAATTTCAAATATACAAAAAATAAACAAATAATATGAGGAACCACCATGTATCCATCACCTGGCCCCAACAATGACAAATCCATGGCTATTCCTGCCTTAACCTCACTCAACCCCATCTCCTTCCCCATTTATTTATTATTTTGAAAACAATCCAAAACAAGTTAAAAAAAAAGTTTTCCAAAATGATTTTATTTTATCATAGGACTGTGTTTATGAAAGAAAAACACTTTTAGAAAAAGAAAAATATGAATTTTTGTCTTATCCTTCAAGTTACTTATTTCATATAATGCACTGCTTTTAGCATGCTGAATATTATAGCCAAGAAAATTTTTTCTTAGTGATTGACAAGCAATTTGGCTACTGAAGGAGAAAATTCTCCCAAACAAAATAAGTATCTCTGTACATATAGACTGAACACAGGAGGGGCCACTGAGAAAGAATATTCCTTCTTTTCAGCTCCCACTAGCGGGCATTTCCCTCCTTCAATCCATAAACTTTTATTGCTCGATCTTATCCCTCATACCAGCTGCTCCTTGAGACTAGACCCTAACCTTTCTGAACAGGTAGGTCAGAGCCTGAGGGAAAGAACAGAAAGAAGTGAGACATTCCCAACCACACCTCTTACTTTAGCTTCATCTTCCTGCCACTGTCCCTCCAGCTGGAATCATAGGCAGTATACCATACCCCCATCCCTACTCTTCAACCTCTCCTCTCCTCCTCATGTCTTCTATTCATCATCCTAGGACTGAAATCCTAGTTCTTCTGAGAAAAAAAAATATATTTTAAAAGGTTATGACAATTTGCCTGAGAGTACAGACAAATGTTATCTCCCATAAATACAAAACCTCTTGGTTTTAGTACCCACAGAACCTAAACAAAAGAAAAAAATGGAAGTGGGTTAAGAAAGTCCAGCCCCTTCACTTTCTCTGTTTCCTCTTGGGTAACTGTGAAGGTCCTTACCACTCTACCAGCTTCCCTAGGCTGAAGGACAACAGCACATACAAAGCCATAACTAGACTTTATACTATTTTAGTTTTGCTATATTCAGTTAAGTTTGATTTTTTACTTTCAGATTCAACTTTCAGAAAATTCGGGAACACATTATTTATGATGGTAGGAGATATATGAGAAATTAATACAGCTGTACTGAATACACAGTCACCTAAGTACTGTGAGTTTCAGTACAATGTGGCTTAAGTATGCTTCCAAGCATTCTACAATCAAGTGTGTGAACACTGCTTTGCTATGCTATTCTGAATGTGGAATACTCTTTCTCCAAATGTGTGTATCTCATAGAAGAAAGGGGAGAAGCAAAAGAGGGGCTATGAATGAGAGACCGATTGTGTACCGATCCCAACAAAAGGTACATATAGTAACCTCTGACTAATATAGTATGCTCCATATTTCGTATGTTTCCACAACATAGAAATATAAAAAAATTCCTCTTATAAATTATTTCCTACAAAGTCAACATGATTTCCAGAATCAGTAATATTACAATATCCAAGGCCAATTACAAGAAGCCTCAAAGAAATTATGCTTATAGCACAGCCTGAAGACCACATGCCCAATAACAAGAATGCAAGTTTCCAGAGTTTCAGTATGCATCTGCTTTTTTACTTAGTTCAGCAAAGTTAACTTTAAAAATGACATGAAAGATTTGTTGTAATACATTGCAGACAAAGATGGAGAAAATTAAGAACAGCATTTTAAACATAACAGCTTAAAAAAAAAAAACTACGAAGACAGGTCTATCAAAAAGTTATGCTTGCCTTTTGTAAGCATAGGGAAGGCCCAGTATAATGAATTCAGAAAAATGCCATCTTCCCTAAATCAGCCATATATTCTTCAAAAGGAAAAAAAGAAGTTAGAATACTGTAAAGTCCTGTTGATATCATCCTAAAGCTGTATTTTCCAAGGCCATACTTTCTACCACCTAGAGCTTTCATTTAGAGCTCAAACTTAATCTGAGGCCCAGAGATGCCAAGTGGGAGCCAGTAGTCACACTCATATCGCTTCTATATAACCTTAACATTAAAGGAGATACTTTTTGGACAATGAACAAAGAGAGGATATGGCAGCTGAGTAGTGATTATCCTGTGCTCATGCATGTGAGAATAAACAAGACAGGAGAAGAGAAATCCACTTTCCCAATACCCAGAAAGACATCTTTCCACACATTTCCCAGAAGCCAAGGGCAAATGTAAACACATGAGAAAAGTATAGATACAGGCGGCTGTGAGGAGTTCCACGAACATCGGCCTCCTTTAAGGAAAAGACACTGAGGAAGTGAAAAGTTAACTCTGACAATACAGCCATCTGTTCAACTCAGTGCAAGAGATTCAATCCCTAAGCCAAAATACATTTACCATGTGCTAAACAGATACGATCTAAGTGACAGTCAAATGTTGTATTTGTTTTACTGTTTAGCTGGCCATTAGAAGGCATTCAAATAGTATCTGCTCTATTAATCCAAATACATTCAATTCCCATGTCAAAATGCAGTAAGTAATTTTCTCCAATATAGAAGAAATATAAATTTAAAAAATGGAATTTTACTGTAAAAATATTAAGGCACAAGAGCATCATGTAACAGTTTTAAAATATATCTCCGTAAAGAGAAATTTTGTATTTCACCTTTAAATTGTTATTTAAAAATACTAATTCTTAATACACCTGCCTACCAAGCTCCAGGAGGTTCTAGCTTAGGTTTCCAGCTAAGATTACTTTAGACATAGGAAAAACGACAAACACTGCTGAATCAACTTGCAAAAGAAATAGTGTTCGGTGAAAGAAAAAAGTCCACTGCCAGAGCTCCACATCTGTATGAGTCCAATGGAAAAGCAAGCTCTCTCCTCGAGAGCAAGAATTAAAAACAGATCACTGCAGCCCAGGGAGAGGAGGCCCCTTTAGAAACGACCCTGCAGGGACTTCTCACCAGCATGGACGTTTTCCTGGTGTCTTCTGAGGGCATCCCTGCTCTTCAGCCTCTTCCCACAGCTGTCGGCCTTGCACACAAACCTGGCATCTCCCCGGCAGGTCTCCTGGTGCTGCTCAAAACTGCAAGACAACCAGGCAAGGGGAAAAGGGAGAAGAGATGGTGAAGCCATACCTAAATAATTCTTACATCGTGGCAAGCTTTTGCAATGCAAGCTCTCTAGCCGAGTTTCTGGGTCATTTCATGCATTACCTGGGCAGGAAAAAGGAAAGTACTTAAATTCCCACAGCAGCCTTCTGATACTAAGTCACTACAAAGCGTGGAAAGCACGCATGCTAAAAATGACCCACAATTAGATAACAGCCATCTGAGAACTCAGAAACACAACCTCGATGCTGAACTGAAGGAAGAACTGCAAACAGAGCACTGAAAACTTCGTGAAGAAACCTTCAGACTGCTTTTCGCCGTGCACTGAAGAACACTGAGGGGAAATAGAAAAAAAAAGAAATAAAAACTGGAAGCATAAGACAAAAACTTAAGAAAATCTCTCTACTTTAAATAAAATCATGTTTGTGATCTCTGTTTTCATTCTGTCTTTTGCCCTTTAAAATTTTTAGTAGTACCTAATTTAACTGTAAGACCCAGCTCAGCAAAAGTATCTTTGGCGTAGATTCAATAAAAGCTGACTAGACTGCAGTTTTAAAGTCTATTCACTAAAAAGTATACAGCCCTTGCTTTTTTTTCAAAAGCCTAAAACAGAATTTCTAAATGTTTACTCTCTTGCTATTATAAAAGTTTTTTTTTAAGTTTAAGTTTTGAGCAGAAATTTTTCATCTCAAATTTTGTAAGCGAAGTGGATTCATATATATGAAAAATGTCTTAATATAAAATATAGCACGTTTCAGAATTTTACTTTAATGAGTAAAAAATGAAATATTAAGTTTCTTAAAGATTTCTTGCTCATATACAAGGTGACATTCTTAAAATAAAAATATATGTATCTATCTTCTCACTTTTAATAATGAGTGTAAAACATTTAAGTAAAAAGATAACTTTATATGCTTGTTAATATAAAGTCAAATAATAAAGGGTGTAGAGCAATGTGTGGGATCATTTAATTCATCTTAATGTCATATCCTATACCTATTCATCATTAAATTGTTCCTTCTAAATTGTTATGAAATAAACAGTGCTTCTTTTCTAAAATGTCCCTGTTTTCTTTATACTCTCAACTCTCTCCATTTCTTAAACTTTTCTTTTACTGATTTCAGAGGGAATATCAAATGTAGACAACTGAAACTTGATCTGTGACCTCAGAGCACTAACTAAATTATGCATAACTGAATTTCAGCTTAGTAAACCAATGAGCTTGATATTTAATGGCAAGTAATTAAATGGACAGACTTATTAGCATAAACAATGCTCATTTGTTGAAGGTAAATAATCAGAATGTTTCAAAATCAACATATTATACTAAGAAAAGATAAGTTAATGACAATGACAACATAGAATGTTTACTATCTTCCTCCCATCCTATCTCTGTCACACACACACATGCACACACACACACACACATGCACACATGCACAAGTTAAAAACTGTAAAACAAATCAAATGGAATAGTTAAAAAAATGTTAGCTTATAATTTTAGATATACTTTGCTGTACGCACTGTCTTTGCAAAGCCTGTTTAACTGGGAATTTCTTCCCACAGTTCTTGCACTTAAATTCTTTCTCCTCCGTAGGTTTTTGGTGCAATGTCTGAAGATGCTCAGCAAGAATTTCCTCACTGGTAAAACTCGAGTCACACTGGGGACAAGCATAGTCCTCTTTACGGCCAAGGCAATCTGCACATTTACAAGGAAACAGATTTAGAAAACAAAAATTAAGAGCCAAGAACTCAGTTTTATCTTCATTTTAAAATAAAAATTAATTCTGTTTAATAGTATCAGAAGAGTAAACGCTTATTATCTCTATGAGTATTAATAATGTTGTCCACGAAAAATAATAGGAAGTGTTACTAGAGAGAAATACATTTTCTTTTAATTCCTTTCTCTTGTTTCAGCAAATTAATACAAAATCAAAACCAATTTTTAATTTATCCTATAATGTTCACTTTTCACATCAAAGAGTTATTACAAACGTTGAATGAGAAAGCAAAAGTTTTCCCTGAAATGGGTCATCTTGAGTTCACGGAGTGCACAAAGAGAAAAAAATCCAACCAAGGCAAACTATGTGGAATCACCAAGGGGAATCTCACATATATGTGAAAAAGACCAAGGTCAAAAAAACAGCACTCATTACGGCAGGTGCAGTGAGGCTCCATTGCATCTCTGGCTTGTCAGTCCCTATGGATGGTCACAGCTCCACCCGAATTTCTCAAAGTACGCTACCTACATTACAGATTTTTTCTGATTATTAAATAAGATGAAATTTAGAAAATTTAGAAAATATGAAGAAAATAAAAATGACCAATAATCCCATAAGGAAGAGACAACCACTTAATAATATATTCTCAAGTCTGATTTGTCTTTTGTCCATTCACATTTTATGCACAGTCTAAGAATAACTACATTTATGATCGTACTTTTTATGCAATTTCATTTGTTGCTTTTTTTTTCCATTTAACATTTTCTCTATTAAAAAAAATAAGGGTCCATATTTATTTAACTAAACTCCCCATTGTTTGACATTTGAGTGGATTATTTGTTTCTTTTGTGTTGTGGGTTTGTTATTCAGTGTTTTGGGTTTTTATTGGGGGGTTGGTTTTATTAAATAAAAACGGATTTCTAAAGTAAAAATAGCAATAATGTTAATAATGTAAGTACCTGGTACATATGTTTTAAAAATCTATTTAAGTTTCTGTTGATTATTTTTACAAAAGTAAATCTGATCGAAGTGATTTTGATATTTGTTAACTAAAGAAAAATCAGGGTGATAATAGATAAGCAGGAGACTCATTTTTAAGCTAAAATAGTGGACACAATAATAACATGCCTGGGGGGAGTGGGGTGGTGACATTAAAAAAATAAAAAAATAAATACAAAAAGTACATCATAGGGAATGCAGTCAGTAATACTGTAATTCACATAAATAAATAAATACCCCTCAAAAAGAAAATACAGAATAATACAGAAATAATCCCCATCACCCAAAGTCTGAAATGCAAAACAGCAAAATGCATATCTGAAAGATAGAACAGAAAGCCTGTCCTCATTTTCCCCTTAAATAATCCAACTAAAATAAAGAAACAGAAGCATAAGCTGGCAATGCTCGGAATGCTTATACTTTCTCAGCCAGTAACGTACAGTTAGAATAGGAAATCCCTATGAGAGACTTTACTACTATCGTGACTAAAGAAGCTAGTGTCACTTCTGAAATGGCTCTGCTAATAAACAAAATGAAAAACTACCCTATAGTAAATTTCAGCCTATTACAAAATGGGAATACTTATAACATCATTCATATTTCTTTCAAACCCCATCAGGAGTAAAACACAACATAACAGAAACAAGTTCCACTAATAATCGATTATTCCCCAGCAGATGGCAAACAAGCGACATCTCCGGATTGCAGGACTGCTCTAAGCAGGTCAGACCTACAGCCAACACACTGTTTTGGGCTACCCAACTGAAACAACCTAACAGTCCTGCAGGCCTCTACAATCAGAACAGAAAGAGATTTCCAGAAGCTCCAGATTCTCCAAGGATCTCTAACAAGAGGGAGGCCCAGCATCCAGCAGCGCCCTCTGGACACCTCTGCACTCGCCCTTCCCCTTGTGCAGATGAGAACGTAACGTTTCCAAGAGTTAGTGACTTGCTCGGTTCCAAGACTGACTAGGTGGCAGATCCAGGGCTGGAGTATAAAATTCCTCATCGCTCGCCACCCCACCGTACCAGGGATAGCAGCGCGAGCCAGGAGCCAGGAGCTGGCGCTGACCTTGGCAGTCCTACAGGGTACATCTACCACCCACACCCAGCATTCTCCTCCTGCTGGAAGAAAGGTGGGCTTACAGCTGGATAGCCTCTGACAGTCGTTTTGACCACAACTATTTTGACAACCCCCTATGATAATGCAACTATAATTCACCCGCAGTTCAAACTGTATTTCTCCTACAACTTCCCTTCTCTCAGATCACCAGTTAGAGGCAATACCTTTTCTGCCAGCTGTTGATTGTCCTTTAGAATTTTTAACTCCCCCTTCTTGGACCATTGTCATAATTTGCTGTTCTTCCTCATCGGCCTCCATGTCACTGTCCAGGTAGCCAATCAGCAGCTCTGTATCTGTTTCTATATCTTCAATTGCCAAATAGAAAATGTTTTCTCCTTCCTGAGACAAAATTAAAAAATATGCTGTTGTATGACAAATATATCTCAATGATTTAAAAAATGTTGAACCATTCATTTGTTTCTAATAGTAATGAAGAAATCATTTTAAGATACATTAAGTCCCATGTGCCCATTAAAAGTTACTATTGATTTGTTTGTTTTTTTATAGCTCCCACTGATCTAGATACTGAAAAAGGAAACTGACAATATTCAGTCACCTGGCAAATAAAATACAAATATATATATTACAGATAGTGACCTTTATCTATATCAAATGAAAGGCTAGTTATTTATATTTCTAAAAGTGAATTTCACATTGTTAATTTGCCTAATGCAGTAAGACCTTGTGGAGGCCCGTAAATGCAATAAAAAGAAATTTGTTAAGTAATGGTGTCATTTCTGGACCCAGAGAACAGTGTGCTATCAGTGACCTAATTACAATTAATATCAAATCCAAAACTGGAAGAAAAAAAAGCTTTCAAGTTATAACAAAAGTCAGAGGAATAGCAAACGGACCCTAAAAGAATTTCCAAAAACCTGGACCAAAAATAGAAAAAAGACCAGGCACCTGAGAGGTTCAAAGAATTGACTGAATCATCATGTGTACCTAAATTCCACTAAAATGACAGAAGAACAAAGAAGAAAGGAAGTTCCGCTATCAACACATTAAAATTTTTTTTGGAAAATTCTGGAAGATTAGAAATCAGCGTTGAAATGATAGATAACTACTGCAGAAGAAATTTCAACCCATTACAGACACAAGAAAAATGTTACAAAGAAGAACCTACTTCCCAAGGAAACCCCAGAGAAACTTCACACTTGGAATGAACTGGTACAAAAAGCCCCTCTGGGCCTTCGGCCAATCACCAGGGAGGCCAGAACTGGGGCTGCTTAGCTCGCTGTCCCCAGGAGAAACACCCAGAATTGCTGTCTTTTACATAGTTGAGGATTTGTTCTGGGAGGGCTCCTAGTTTGGCTGCTGAGGATAAAAAGAAGCAAAGCATAGCCTGAATTTATTGAACCTTGGTGGTAGGCAAGGGAAGGGAAGGACAAGGACAATAAGCTCCACCAAAGAGTGAAATTCAATAAGGGAGAGAACACAGAACAAAGCCTTCTCTCCGTTGGCATTATCACCACACTCTTGTTAAGGAGGAAGAGACAGAGGAGGAGGGGGAATAGGTAAGGTGAGTGGGAGAAGGGAGAGGGGAGGAAGAGGGACATATAACGTATCTATGCGTGTGTGTAGATATGTATACACAAGCAGAACCCTTGTGAAAAGTTGGAAAAATATGCATCAAACTGTTATACAGTTATCGTTTGGAGCTGGGAGGAAAAGTAGTCTATATTCAATACTGTTTTAGGGTTTTTTGGTTTGTTTTTTACAATGAACAGAATCTTTGTAATTTTTAAAACAATATACATTAGAAAATTCCATGCAAGAGACAGAAGTGATGATCATATTTTGCTTTATGCAAAAGTTCAAAGCATTGAACAAATCTAACCATCAGTTACGGTTAATTAAAGGATGTTTCTATAATATTTAGAGCATCCTTGAAAGTTTTTCGAATTTCAAACCTCCAGAAACTATACCAAGTTATTTCTAATTAAGAACACAGTCAACTTCTACACAATTGTTACTCTTTGTGCAACAAAAATAAACAAAACACAACTTAGACACTCAGCAAAGGAGCGGTCTCTTTTTAAATTAACTTAGAAGTGGTATTTTCCAGGGTTTGGAAACCACTTGCCAAGAGTTACCCAAAACAACAAAGGACTCACCTAATGAAGATTTCAGAATACAATCATAAATCTTAGCGCTTATCTGATCAATATCCAAGAAATTTAATTGAAACGTCTTTCCAGAATATTAATCATCAATTTTGTGATGGCCTTCATAGCACCAAGAAAAGATACTAATTTTTAATTTTAAAGCATGATAACATTAACTTAAACTGCAATCATAAGACATAGCATGCCTATTTAGGGACTCCATAATAAAAAAAATTAATATACCAGTTAAAACCTCAATTTAATAAAAGTAATAGCATCATAGCCACCAAGGGCCAACTACATGTTTTGTCTGTATGCCAATATATGGTACGAAGAGGAATGTCATTACAGGTATTACTCCAATCTATTTATTTAATAGAAATATATAGATACCTTTCGACATATAATTCCTACCACTACCCAGACCAAGAGTCTCTTCCTTTCATTTGCTACCACAGTAGTTTTAAGAAGTATCCTCTTAAATTGCTTTCTTCCCTACACTTCACTAATTTAATCAGTAACAACTCTTCATTATATTGTTCTCCTTCAAAACTTCCCATTGCCAGAACCTGCGAGATTCCTAATCTCTGGAGCTCTCTTGAGCTCTTGGGGCAATATTCCTCACCTGTAGGCTCACCCCCAGGCCCAATTCTGTGACCTTTGGCAAGAAGGATTTAAAGGGTGTTGACCCAAAGTCCTGGGACTCAGCATCAACTCCCTGTTGTCGTTAGCCTGGCTCTGACTTTCTGTTCCAGCTTTGATGATTGTTCTAATATTTTGATTCTGAAATTTACTTATTATAGCCATCATTTCTGGTCATCGGCTTTGTGGCTTATTCCCCTGAACACAGTTCCGTCCATAAGAAAATCACTCTTTATATTTACATGTTAGGATTTAGCACCTTCCTGGACTCTGCCTGGGGTCTGGGGTCCTGCTTTTGGTTCCTGTTATGGGCTCCTGGTGATTTTCCTGAAAATGCTTGAGCTGGGGGCACCGGGTGGCTCAGACAGTTGAGCATCAGACTCTTGGGTTTCCACTCAGGTCACAATCTGGGGGTCTGGGATTGAGCCCCCAGGTCAGGCTTTGCGCTCAGCATAGAGTCTGCTTGTCCCTTTCCCTCCTCCTCTGCTCCTCCCCCTGCTCATGCTTGCTTTCTCAAATAAATAAATAAAATCTTTTAAAAAAAAAATGCTTTGGCTGAAAGAAGGCTGTTCAACATCATGATCTGTTCAAAAGCAAATATTCCTTTTTTTTTTTTAAGATTTATTTATTTATTTTAGAGGGAGGGAGAGAGAGAGCGCACAGTAGCACAAGTTGGGGGAGGAGCAGAGGGTGGGGGAGGGGGGATCTTCAAGCAGACTCCACGCTGAGCTCACGGCCCCACGGGAGCAGGAGCTGATCTCACAACCTGAGATCATGACATGAGCCGAAACCAAGAGTCCCACACTTTACGAATTGAGCCACCCAGGCGCGCCAAAAGCAAATATTCCTCAGCCAGTGGTTTTCATTGTGTTGGTAATCAGGATACAACATAGAGTGAATGGTTTTACAACTGTTACCCATCTCTTACATTACTGTCCATCATTCTGAATTTGTTGTCTTGTTTCATTTTGCTTTATTTGTATATCATTTTCAGCTAATTATTTCTACTGCAAGGTGTTTGTAGCATCAAAAAGCTGCAGTAGCATAAATACCCAGCAAAAGAAGTTGAAATAAATTAAATGCCTAGCAATTGGTTTTAAAATTTACCAGATGTAATTTTTATAGGAAAAAAAATATATGTCATATATATGTATATATATATGCATACCAATGTGCCCCACAAAAAAAAGATACCAACAAGCATGTTAACAGAGCTTATTTCTAAGTAGAGGTAATTGTAAGTATTTTGCAGAGTCTTCTTCTGCTAGTTCATACCTTACAATTTTTCTAGAATTAACGGGGGTTATTTTGTAGTAAAATAAAACATAAATAATAAACAGACCTGGTTCTTGATACCCGGAAGTTGTACCGCATAGTGACTAAACAGCACAGGCTTTGGACTGGCCAGGGTTCAAAGTCTCTTTCTGCGGGTGATTGCCTGTGTAACTGTGCAAACAGCTTAATCTCTCAAACCACCAGTTTCTTCATTTGCAAGATGAAGAAAATAACAGTGCTTATCTCACAGGCTGGTGGTAAGGATTAAAAGTGAGAATATCTTGGGGTGCCTGGGTGGCTCAGTCGTTAAGCGTCTGCCTTCGGCTCAGGTCATGGTCCCAGGGTCCTGGGATCGAGCCCCGCATCGGGCTCCCTGCTCAGCGGGAAGCCTGCTTCTCCCTCTCCCCCTGCTTGTGTTCCCTCTAGCTGTGTCTCTGTCAAATGAATAAATAAAATCTTAAAAAAAAAAAGAATATATATTTGTGGGGCGCCTGGGTGTCTCAGTCGGTTAAGCGTCTGCCTTTGGCTCAGGTCATGATCCCGGGGTCCTGGGATCCAGCCCCACATCAGGCTCCCTACTCTGCGGGAAGACTGCTTCTCCCTCTTCCATTCCCCCCTGCTTGTGTTCCCTCTCTCGCTGTCTCTCTCTCTGTGTCAAAAAAAATAAATAAAATCTTTAAAAAAAAAAAAAAAGTGAGAATATCTGTAAAATCTGGTAAAGTGACTGGCATATGGTAAGCATTCACGAATGGTAGCTACTGCTATTATTATTATTGTTGTTGTTGTTGTTATTATCATGATATAAAACTTGAAAACCAGTGGATAAAATATTCCTTTTTTTCAAAATTTATTTCAACCCAAATGCCACATAAAGTTGCTAAGACAATGATAAAATATTCCTTTTTTTCAAAATTTATTTCAACCCAAATGCCACATAAAGTTGCTAAGACAATGCTGCTTTCGACTGAATTTCATTTGGTCAAATTGCTCTCGGACAAAATATAATTCAATTTCACTGACTGCCTACCAGAGCTCTGAATTGCTTTGGATTTCTGGTTGTCACACTCTGTTCTCTTGTTAACATACTAATGCGTCACTCTGGTTTGGACCTCCGATCTCAGTCACTTGTCTGAACTATTCCTAACGTGACCAGCCATCTGCTTTGCTTTCAACTGAGGGGTTTCCCAGGACCCAGGGCTTTCACAGCTAAAACTGAAAGAGTCCTGGGCAAACCAGGACAGTTGGTCACCGCACCTACACCCATCATGTTCTCCAAAACCACATTCTAAACTCTACTTAAGATTTCCTACCAAT